ATAAATTTAGAACTAAAATACAATTCCTCAAATACGGGGACTTAGACGTGGAAAAATAGAATAAATAATAGGTCATGTCGGTGGAAAATAAACAAAGTTTTAAGAAAACGTTCATATTTATTTTATTTTTAAATTAGATAAATATTTAAGTAAAAAGCAAATAATATTAAATTATTCAAAATATTTTTTAATATTGCAATTTTTAAAGTTATAAACAAACATTAAACTTTAAGTTTTATTATAAACAAACATTGAGAGATGGATAATCTATATTATTAATATACTATAACACATTTTAATTTTGCTTTAAAAATTGGATTAAAATTAGGTTCATTTAAAGACCTCAGTAGTAGGATGGAATGTTGATTTATTTAGAGATCTCGAATTCTAACAGTTATATTTATTATTACACGTTTGCATTATTGATGGTTAAAGAAAACTTTGAATAAATATTACACTGTGATCATGTTAAACTATTAAAAGAAATTTGGACTGAAAATTAAAATAAAATACGTGAAAAGTAATAAATTACGTTATATTAAAAAAATAACATGTGCATGTATAGATAGCAATAAACATACAAAAGATAACTCTAATATGCTCATATAAAATTATATATATATATATATCAATAAAAGAAAATTATTATATGGTTGTTACAAAAATTAAAGTCTTAATACTATTTTTAACTATGTATTATAGTAAAGTTTTCACTTTAACCTTTTAATTTATTTTTCAAAATTTAACACTTAACAATTATAGTATAATTTTTGTCAAAATTACATGAATTAATTTATTTCAGTGGTTAAAAAGATGATTGTTATCCCTAAAGAATTAAATGATTGAGTCTTTAGAACATATATTAGTAGTAGTAGCATCTTATGAATTATTTTTTTATTGAAAAAATTATAATCTTAAAATAAATTATATAATTATATATAATTAAAAATTAAAAATATCAAAATAAGATTTTAATGGTAATTTAAAAACTAAATAAAAATTTTCCATTAAGTCATCATTATAACCGTCAACTAAAAAGATAGTTATTTTATTATTTTTTAAAAATTAACACTCAAAAAAACATTATCGTAATATAATTTAATGAAATTTTTTAATTTTCACCTAAATATTTTTGTAAAAAGGCACATGAGGTAACTGAACTTAAAAAAAATATTAATGTAGCCCATATCCTATTTTTTTGGATCAATGTGGCTTTTCAACTCGAAAAAAAGACCCAATGTGGTCTTATGACTGGCGTTTTCCTTTAATGATCAAGGTTTCGTTAATTTATATTGTTATAGATTGGGTAAATTACACCATTCATCACTCAATTATTTTCTTCTCTTATATTTAGTCACTAAACTCTAAATGTTTTCAATTTTGGAAACTTTAGAGATTTCAGGGACTAAGGATGTAGTTAACTCATTTTATTTTAAGGGCAAACTACACAAATGAGTCATTTTTGTTGCAGGAATAAATTATTAATCATGAGTGTCTTTGTAAACCCAAAATAGTTCAAAGATAAAATATCAATTGACCCATTTTTTCCATATGTTTTCTTCTTCAACCCCATCTTCTCTGCCGCGCCTCTTCTCCTGTTTATGAAAGTGGAGCCAAAACCTTTGTCATCTTCCAAAACATAAGGATCAACGACCCGATCATTGCACTCCACAACGTCTTCTCTGGGGATTTAATCTATCAACCACTCCTTTTGAATTGCTACATCCTCGAGAAAATAAATTTGATCGTATTTAAAGTATACTTACTTTTTTTATTTAACTAAAGTATTTTTTAGTCAAAATAAGTACCTAAAGTTTTTTTTTGTCAAAATAGGTGATTAAAGTATTTTATGTCAAAATAGGTACTTAAACTATTCAAACATTTTCATCTATGTTCTAAAAAAGGTTGACCATGACATTAGTTAAATAATACTTTATGTGCTAGATAAAACAATTGAATATTTTAAGTATTTATTTTGACCAAAAAATACTTTAAATATATGTTTTGATCAAAAAGATAATTTAGATACTTATTTTGATCGGAAAATACTTTATACTTAAATGGAAAAGATATCATACTGCAGGAACTTTTGTCTTTAGTCTCTCTAACTCTACTTTAGTCTCTCCCTTATTTTGCTCACTGAACTTTCAATTTTTCTAATTTGTTCATTGAACTTTACAAATTGAATCATTTTGCTCACTCTCCCATTTTCTCTCTAACGGATGATATTTTATTATTATTTAATATAAAATAATTAAAAATAAAATAAAAACATAAGGCGGTCGGATGCCACCGTCAACCACCGTTGACCTCCATAGATGGTGGTCGTTTGGTCCCAAAATGGGATGGGTCGCTTCACCTCAACATCGTAAGTTCGAATTTGAAATTGAAAGTGAGTAAACCGAGACGTTTCAGTCCAAAATCACGGGTTTGAGGACATTTGTGGGTGAAACAACCACCAGATCCGAACTTAATGGGTCGAGACGAACCAAGCCATTCCATTTTGGGACCGAAGGGTAAATTACACTATGAGTCATTAAACTTTACTCTATCTCATATTTTACTCACCAAAACGACGTCATTTTAGAGTACATTTGAGTTTTTCAAAACATCATCGTTTTGATTCATGTGCCACGTCATAACACCATTAAAAAGTTAACATCATAATGAGCAAAATGATTCAATATGTAAAGTTCAGTGCGTAAATTAGAAAATTTGAAATTTTGGTGAGTAAAATAAGAGAGAGGGTAAAGTAGAGTGAGGAACCATGTAATTTACCCTTATTATAAATATAATTCTAAATAAAAATATAAAAAACTGAGCAAGGTGACGAACTGTTGGGAGTGAGGCCCAGTTTGGGCCCAAGAATGAGGAGGAGCCGCCGCACACGTCAGGCGTCAGGCATCTTTTTCATTCGCATATTTGAAAGGCTTAATATAAAAATGAGTACTTAGACTATACTAAAATTAATTTTTGGTGTCTAAATAATTTTTTGTTAAAAAAATGTGCCTAAAGTTTTTCCTGTTACATTTTAGATGTCTATCGTTAAAAAAATAGTTAAGTGATACGTGTCATGTCCATATTTTATTTTATTTAAAAAAAAATTTAGACGTGACACATGTTACTTAACGGTTTTTTTAACGTTAGATACCTAAAAGTGTAACAAAGAAAACTTTAGGCACTTATTTTTGTATTAAGCCATTTGCAAATGGAAAACGAACTTATCGTTTCAATGGCATAATATCAAAGTTAGCCCCCAACATTTATTAAAACAGTCATTTCGATCCTTATTCTTTTTTTTTGAGTATTTTAACTTGTACGTCTCATTTTAAGGCAAAAAGACGCTTAATATTTGACAGAATAAGCACTTTGGTCCTTATTCTTTTTTTTAAACATTTTAACCCTCAATATTTCATTTTAGGTTAAAATATATCTATTTTGAAATGTTAACTAATGATTTTCATCTATAGAAAAAAAATTTTATCCTAAAATAAAACATCAAAATATTTCAAAAAGAAATCAAGGGTTGAAATGACCAAAAACGTATTAGTATTGTAGAGCCATTATTTTTTGTTGGTTTCCTCAGCTAATCAAAGTTAAGTTGAAGTCCCAATCAAATTGGGTGGGTATTTTGTGGTGAATATAAGTGATTGAAACCCTAAATCCCCAATTATTTGAAAATTCAACGTTGGATGGCTTAAAGGCGGCCATGGATACAAATATCTCACTATTTAAACTCTAGAAAGAACTGACAACTGCTGCTCAGGTTCTGTCCACTCTTGGTTCTGCTCAAAAACAATTCTCTAATTAATATAATATTTTTAAAGAATTTATATGTAATGTTTGTTATTATCAGTAATTCATTATGGCCGCAAAGCCGAATGTTTTACAGTACGACACATATAATATATAATTAAAATGTTATCGGTTTTATTATTATTTAAATAATAAAATCGATAAAAAATTATTTAAAAATTATTATTTTTATTTAAAATATTAATTTTTTTAATATTTTTGATAAAGTGTCCAACAATAACAAAATCGATAGAAAAAATAATATTTATAATAAATTTTTACTGATTTTATTATTTAAATAATAACAAAATTGATTTCGTCTTAATGTTTTAGTTTTTTAAAAATTGTTTAAAATTTTACTAATGTCACTTATGAAAATAAAATTATGTCATTTGTTAATTTTATTTTTCAAAATTATTTAAATTTAATAGTTAAAATTAATTAAAATTTTTACTTTTTTACAAATTTTTAATTCAAAATTTTCAGAGTTAATTGTATCAAATGTCTCTAATATATGACAGTCGTTTCAATTTAGTCTCTAAACTTTTAAACATTTCAATTTCATCGTTAAACTATGATTATTATTCTAAATTAGTCCTCAAAGTTTTAAATATTTCATTTTATTCTCCAAGCTATGATGTTCATCCTAAGTTGGTCTCCAAACTTTTTGAATATTTCAATTTTATCCTAAATTATTTGTATATACTAATCACGTCTCTTTAATAAAATCATTAGGCAAGTTATATCACTATATGTATGAAAAAATAGGTTAAACTATGGTTGCAATAGATTACATATTTGGATGAATTTGGGGATGAAATTGAAAGATCTAAAAGTTAAAGGGTCAATTTAGAATGAGATTCATAGTTTAGGGATAAAATTCAATTGTTAAAATGTTTAAAGACTAATTTAGAATTACAATCATAGTTTAAAGATGAAATTAGAATATTTAAAAGTTTAAGAATTAATTTAAAATGAGAGTCATAGTTTAGGGATATATAATATAATTAACTCAAAATTTAATTAATCCAACTTTAAATTAAAGGTTTAATCGATAATTTTTTTAATTCAATCCAATTTAAAAAATTAATTATTTTTAAAAGATGGCGGCTCTATTATTTTAATATTTTTTACAATTATCAAACAAGCACTTGAGTAGTAGAAGAACACGTGCCTTGACAAGATGTGAGGAACACAAACGACATATCATACAACACGTAGCCAAACACGTCGTCACGGAGAAATTTTAATTTAATAGTCTTACTTTTACTAAATACTAACATTTTTAAACAATTAAATAATATCATAACAAATTTAAAGAAAACACCCGATATTTTCAGTTACCGCCTATCCAAAACTCGCCATAGGATCGGTGGAGAAACACACTCAAACTGCCCCCACATGATCCGACCCGAACAAATCCCCAATATCTTGGAATTGATTATCGACACGTTGCAACCTCGACGAAGCCCCGAATCCATACTCGAAATCACCATCCGAACTAAAAAACCCGTACCCGAAATTATCTTTCGGAAAACAATCGTGTAAGCTCGTATCATCGTCGAACAAACCCGGCACTGAGCTGAATATATCACTCGAAGATGGATGATCGGAGGAATTCGAGATTTTTTCTCCCGATATGAAGCAGGACTCTTCAACGACATCACGGGGTTCGCTCCCGGATTCTCGGGGCTCTTTAACGTTTTGCAGATCGCCACCGTCTGCAGCGGAAAACGACGGGAAACGGAGAACGGAAGTCGGAGAGCAGAGGTTTGTGTTTTGAGAGTCTTCGCCGGAGTTGTAGTCTGAGCTGGATAACGGTTTTTGGCTGTTTTCGACTTGGATCGTCTTTCCTTTGGGAACCGAGAAGTTCGTGAGCGCGTCGGGTCCACGTAATTCAATAGCCGCGTTGTCATATGCCCTCGCTGCTTCCTCGGCTGTATCATAGGTACCTAACCATCGCCGTACACGTCTCAGCGGATCCCTGATCTCAGCCGCCCATTTCCCCCAAGGCCGTTGCCTTACACCTGTGTACTTCTTACCCGCCGGTAACGGTTTAACTTTCACCGCCGGCCTTTTTCGTGAACTCTTCGACAACGACGATTTACTCCTCGAAAAGGTGTCTCTTTTGACGGAACAAGATGACTCGATAGTTATCTCGTTGACGTATTTCTTCACTCTGTTTCGAGAACAACACCGGCTTGCTTCTTCTTCTTCTTCGTCGCCGGAGGAATCCGTGGCGTCGGCATCTGTAACTGAAATCCTAACAACCCGACGCTTCATTTCCCGCTGATTTTCGAGTCCGATATCTGAAAAGAGCGTCGTTTGATATCGGTGTTCGGTGTATTTGATCGAACGAAGAACGAAACAATCCATTTTCTTCATCATTTGTGATTCTCTGGGGTTTTTTTTCAGATTCTTCCACCTCTTCTCATTGAGATCGCAGAGTGAACACGTAAGGAGGGAGTGGAATTAAAAAAGAAAATAAGCAAAGAAAATATTCCCTTTGAGACCAGACACGAGGAGAATAAAGGGTTGAAAAGAGAAAGAACACGTTAAAGATAAGCATGGAAACGAAAATTTAAAAAATCCGCCATTTATCCTCCTTCAAAGGTTTACTCAAAAAGTTCATCAAACAGCAAGAAATTTCAAGGAAAGTGAACCCATACAGAAAGTGTGCAGAGAAAATACCAGAAAATAATTGAAAGACAGTAAAACCCAGACAAAAGAAAAGGGAGATACTGCTAAAAAAAGGCCACTTTCTTCACTCAGTCAAATAGAGCACGGCTTTGCTATTTCTGGGCAACTTTCGAATCTAAAGTCCGATAAGAGACCAAGAATCCAACTTTCTGATGATACTTTATTCCCAGAAAATCAAAAAAAAAATTATAAAAGAACCAGAAAATGATAAGCGAATAAAGAAGAGTCCTTTTGTGATGGGAGAATGAAATCATAAGAGTTTTTTTTTGAAGTGTAAATGGAAAGTTTTAGCTATTTTATAGGATCCCAAAACCCATAATTGGTTCACCCGGTTCAACTAATTCCACAAATCTTTTTCTCAATGATTTAATAAATATATAAAAACACGGGTTTTTATATATTTCACTGGATTTGGGAATATCGGCGAGGTTGACGCTCCGATCACCGGAGATATTTAACGAGGCGTCGCGTAAGATGGGTATTTGAGATATCGACACGTGGATGAATCCCCGAGGAAATAGGCCAAGAGGGAAGGGTGATTGAACCGGAGAATGCTGACTCGGGCAAAAGATTTCATCTTGAAATCAGGGATTTACGTCACGTGACAGTGGTCGCTGAGGTTAATCCTCTGCCTTTGACTAATAAAAAAATATAGAGTATTTAGAAGGATTATATATATATTAATTACTAATATTAAATTTATTATTTGATTAATTTTGATCAGATATTTTTGTTTTTGTTATCTTTTAATCAATCGGATATAAACATTTCAATCATTTTGGAATATTTTTAAAATCATTTCCACAAGTGCATGACCTTTTAGAGAAGTTGATGAGTAATTTTGACCATCACAGCATTATTTATTTCATCTTTGAACTTTTGAATACTTAATCTTTTCACATGTGTACAAATTTCATGCAATGTTGATGGTTTTATTTTATTTTTTTACATCTTTTGTTCATCCAATTCAACAATTTGAATAACTAGTTATTAAATATTAGCTTAATGGCTTTGTTCTAAGTTGTGCTTAATACTGGCTTTTTCACTCTAGGATAAAAAAAATAAGTACTAAAATGAGAAATAAATATAGTTTGTGGGTTAAGTTAATATATTAAACATTATGATGTTAAGTTAATACTGATTTTTTCACTCTAGGAATATTTAGTTACATTTGTAGGGTGTGCGTACATTGACAATGACTAAGAAAGATCTTCAGAACATATACTTACATTGTAATCACCTTGTTCAAAAATAAATACTCCATTACTTTTTATGTTAACAAATTTGATATAATGTTTTATAGGGTAAATATAAGACAATATTTATTCAAAGAGTCTCAATCATTTGACAATAAACGCTTATACCCCTGACATTTGCAGTGTTCGAACCCGGTACCTCGAGGGATAACAACAAATCCCTTAACCACGGAGATCACTTGGTTCGTGCAAGTTCAATCCAAATTAGATTAGATATTTTTTGAAATATTGGAATATGTAAATCAATCTATAAATTTGAATACGTTTATCTACCAACAACTTATTTTAGTATTATCATTTAAATTTAAATTAAATACTATTATTCACTCAGTGCTTGAACCTGTTATAAGTTTAAATTTTAAATTATGTAAATCAATCTATAAATTTAAATTTTATCCTTTTTGTTATTTAAAGTCAGATTCATATATCTAAATGCAAAATTTGTATCTACGTAAATGATGTTAATTAGAATAATGAATATTTGAGACTATCCATCCACGTTCAACATCCTCTAATAACCTACGACGAATAGTAATTCTAACATCTCACATTTAAAATTCTAATTACCATCTCTAGGCTTGGGTGACTGACTCGACTTTAATTTTAATATTTTTTAAAAAAAATTAACTATAAATATTAATATAAAATATATTTGTCATATTTATTAATTTATAAATAACAAACACACTATGCAAACGAACCAACCCGACCTTACATATGGACAGATCACTCTCTCAACAAATTTTTTTATTTAAATGTTGACATCAATCAATATTATGATATTGATATTAATGGGAATTTCCCTCTTTGAACATGTGTTTGCAACTTGAAAATGATGGCTTGGGCATGCCAATATCCAAATTGAGCCTCTTCGACGCATGCTTTGGCACAATTTGTAGATAATTTAAGTTGGGGTAAATTACACATTGAGTACCTAAACTTTCAATTTTTATCCGTTTCAGTACTTTAATTATTTCAAATCATACCTAATATTTTAGTTTTTATTTCATTTTAGTCCCACACCGTTAAAAATTTAACATGTTTAGTACCTAAACTATTAGTTTTGGTCTATTTTAATATTTAAACTTTCAAAAATTTTCAAAGCTTAATGTTAAATTTTTGAAAGAGGTACTAAAATGAAACAAAAACTAAAGTTTTTAACGGCGGGTACTAAAATGAAACAAAAACTAAACTTAGGTATGATTTTGAAAAAATTGAAGTTTAGGTACTAAAATAAACCAAAACTGATAGTTTAAGTACCAAACACAAAATTTACATTTTTCGCGTGAAGTGAGCACAAATAAAATTTTATGGTGGACAGAATCAATAAAATAAATAACCGACTGAAGAAAATTCGGATTCTAAGGTTGGCAAGAAAAAGGGTGGATCCGCCCCTGATTGCTGTTAATATTAGGGTGAAAGACCTTTGTCCAAAATGCAACCTGAACAGAAGGCAAAATAATGGTAAAAAAAAGTCAAGCATGATAAAAGAGATTACAGAGTCTGGCTCCGCATCATCGGCATCAACATGCCATTGTTCACTGCTTACAATAAATTTGGTTCTATTCTATCCCCCAATGAATACGAATCATTGCTATCACATAAAATTGTAAATATATTCCTATAGGCCATAGCATCCATTAAAATGCTTTTGCATGAATAACATGCATACAGTAAATGTTACATGCCATAACTAAACATGCATGCGACAATGAAAACTTACCTTGAAAAGGTTTAAAAAAGTATAACCAAAATTGGCACTGAAGAAAACCACCCAACAATATCCTTTAATGCATAAACTAAACCATTAGACACTCAGCAGGTATGTGCATGCCAAGCAAAGTTTGCACAAGCCATTAGCTCTGTAGAGACACCATCACCACAGTGTTATCGGAAAGGAATTAGCTATATAATATGAAGACTTCAAACAATTATGCTATACATATCCCTTCAAGCTTTGAAATGTAAATTGGGCATAGGGACATTGACCATATAAAAAATCAGCAGTATCGGATTTCCGAGAGCATAATGAACTTGCAGAATGTGAAGTGATAAGCAATTTTCTTCAGAACACTTGGTGACATAACAGCAGTTTACAGAAGCAAAAGGCAATCGATTACAGTAAATATATACTCGAGAAAGGTGAAAAAAATACACTATATACCAAAAAGAGCAGGAAAGAAAGAAAAATAGATGGTCAAAGAATACAATTAAATACCTTGGGTGGTTTAAATGGATAGTCCCAAGGGAAATGAATGGAGACTAAGAACACTCCACCAGCGAATGGACTGTCTGGAGGACCCATAATAGTTGCTTGCCAATGAAACATGTCTTCAGCAACAGGACCTTATTTCAATAACAAAAAAAGTAAAACAATAGTTCTATGTAACGACCAATCTGCAGGTACACTTATCAAATTCTTTATTGATATAAAACTTAGATAAAATGCTCATCGTTTTTATTATTTGCGTATAGAAAAGTATAAGATGTTGAAGTCCTGGCCGATGGACCATGGATCGTCTACGGCCAATATCTCACTGTTCAACCCTGGACCTTGGATTTTCGTACTTCGCAACCTTACCCAATCACGCTAATCGCTTTGGATCCGTTTCCCAGACCTCCCGGAATATATGTACCAAAAAACTGGCTGTAATTATTAAAATGATATTGTTTTTTTATTTATTATTTTGAAATTTGTCATTTTCTCTTATTATTTATAGGTCAATATGCGTTGAATATATCATTTAAATTCGAATATTTTAGTCCCATGATAATATGGAGCAGAATTTGGTTGATGTGGAAGACCCAGGGCCATCAATGAAAAGCTTTTTGTGAACCAGAGAATCAAAAAGGGATCCTAAAAAGGATGATTGTGAAGGTGGTGAACCCCCCCCCAACAACACTTTCCCCATTAACCTCTCATTTTCCACGTATACTTTCCCTCCTACAATTCCATCTTCTTAATAGTAAAATAATTACTAGTTTAGTTGTGTTTCAATATGATTCTATTTATGTATTTGAACAAGCACGAATCAAACGTCCTCAGCGATAAAGAAGATGGTTGTTATCTCTAAAAGTTTTAGGTTCAAACACATGATTTACAAGGGTGTTTGAGTGTTCATTGTCAGATGATTGAAAATATTTCGAAAAAGATATTATTTTTGTCATCACCTTACACTAATCAAAAAGAAAAATAATATTCAAACAAATGATAAATTTAAAGAAAATATTGATAATAAATCTTTGTATTATCTGATATTAATTAATCAAATAATAAATTAAATATCGACAATTGTTTTAAAAAGTTACACTTTTCACAAAATAGTAACGATGAAAGGCATAATTTAAGGATTAATTATATTAAATCGTTTAAAAAAATTGGTACCATCACACGTGCACCTTAGGAATAATAAAATTACCGAATATTAAACAGCATATTCTTCATTTAAGGAAAAAAAAAACTCCATTTTTTAATTTGATTGCCTTTGCAGTTTGCCCTGCCCCACTACACAGTCTTTAAACAATGTCCCAAATTAATAATTAATGAAAAATAAAATAATCTTATAATATTCTCAAATTGCACGACATTAAAAACATTAAAAAAAAACCCCGCTGCTATCTTTGTGATACTAAAACCTTTCACCCATAGGCAATTAAAAGCTATTTTAGGTGTTTTTAAATATTTAATTAAATAATTATTTTAATTCTTATTTTTTAAATTACTTTGACATCAAACGTTTTATTTTAAGATAAAAGACTCGTTCGTAGATAAAAATTACTTGTTAACAAATAAATTTTTTAAGCAAGTTAACAAATAGTTAACGTTTCAAAATAGAGATATTTTATCATAAATAAAATGTTAAGGGTTAAAATGTTATAAAAGATAATGAGGGTAAAAGTAACTAATAAATCAAACTTTAAGGACCTTTTACCTAAAATAAAATGATTAGGCTAAAATAATCTAAAGTTAAGAGTCAAAATAATGATTTTAATAAATATTGAGGGTTGATTTTGATATTATGCTAATATTTTATTTCTTTCATCTTATTAAAACCATTCCTTGTCTTTTTCGTTAATAAATAAATTTTTTAAATTTTCATTATAATTATTTGAAATATTTTAAATTCAACTTCGATAATATCTTATCAAGTAAATGATTTTTTTTTGAATAAAATAAATAAATGATATGTTCTTTCTGAGTGCTTTTTAAGATCACAAACGCAAAGATTTGGAAACATATATGACTTTCCAGCAAAAGGAACCTTTCTTGGAGATGAAGATCAGACGGTAAATAGTAAGGACTGTTTACACGTGTCTATTATCTGATTGGCTTAGGAGATTTAGAGATAAGGGAATTGATTCTTTTGACTTGTTTTTGGGTACTCTTACGACATTTGACATTTTATCGCCGCTCTCTTTTTTTCAGCACCACTCTTTTGAATTTTCAATAATTTTCCATTTTCAAACTTTTTTTTGGTTTTCTTTTAAACCAAAACATCATTAAAAATATCGAATTAATATTCTTTTATGTCACGTAACGTAAAGATATTTCATATCAGAGACATGTTTTTGAAAAACATTTTAATAAAAGTGTCTTTGTTTATGTGATTAGAATTCGACCAGAACTAATAAAAACTAGATTAAAATAAATAAATAAAAAGAAAAATAAAGGAAAATCGTGAAAACATTATATGAATTTCAATTAAAATTAAGAAATACGTATGGTCACTTCGAAGACACGTATTTACATAAACACGAGCACAAGTCGAGTCGTATGACAATGATAAATGTGTATAGATTTTATCTTCAACCACTCAATAAATTTATATTTAAAAGAATAGGTTTAAACTCTTAAAAAATATATCTAAAGAGTGTGAAAATTAAGAACCTCATAACCAACGTGATGATTTTGAGCTGTCAAACACAAATCATGAATTTGATCAGACTCGTATCAATACGACATTCAAATAAATTTTTGGATACTGAAATCTCGAGTATTGCAGAAGATAATAATAAACAAAATCAAGGTATATTTTCCACAACTCAAACTCAACAACACTGACGATGAGATACTCGAATCTCATATTATTTAGATATTGATTTTCTCAAGTATTTAAATATTTCTATTTTTAGCATCTTATTTTCCTTTCTTCTATTTTGGTCCAACCTTCTATAAAATAACGCCACGTTTTATAAAATGACATAATTTAAATATATTTCTAAAATTATAAGTAAATTCGAGATTGATTTAAAGGTATAATAAACCACAAGAAGAGTTTTGCGAATTTGAGTTAATTGAGTATTGTGTAGTCATGAAACAACTCTCAACAATTTGACATTGAACGCTCACACTCCTATTATTTTTTGTGCTCGAATCCGGAACCTCAAAGAATAACAACAATTTTTTACCACTGAGATCGTTTGGTTCGTGCTAGTAGTTTGATTTTAATAGAATAAGTTCGAAGGTTTTTTTATGGAATAGGTTTGGATACCTAAAGGTTAAAGTTGATGTCCCTGTATTACTTTTATATTAACGAACTCATATTTTTTTTAAGATATTAGAGATTGTAAATTCTTTTAATATTTATTTTAATATTGTAATTGTTATAAAAACCTCACTTTGAATTTGATTGGCAAATTAGTTACTAAGGTAACGTTAGATGATAGGTTTGATATTTTGGATTTAGTTTATGTTTGTCTAAATAAGTTGTAGATTATTAATGTAACATATTTGATTTGATTAATAATTAGATTGAATAATGAATATTATAGAGCATAAGCCAACCCTAGTCCCTCTCTCATTTCCTCGTTTTTTTTTCTCCTCAAGAGCTATATCAAAATTTTATTTTTTGATTTTGTTTAACCGACGACGACATCAATTTTGATGTTGGTTGCCGACTATAGGTTCTCTTTTCTATTTTTTTAAATTTTTTAATAAGAATAATTATATCTTTATTATACGTTTTTTTTCTACCTTTGTGGCATGTTTTTTTTTTTGTTATTATCACTCTTTTGATCGTTCTTTTTTTAATGTTTTATTAGGGTTGAATTTGACGATGACACGACTGATTAAAATGGTACTTATTTGTAATCTTGTTAATTTCCATGCTATGGGCCCTCAAATTGACTCTGAATATGTGATATTATGTTCACTGATAGTTTCTTACGACGTTCGGCTCTAATTTGAAGTTCTCGATGGTATTTTAATAGCTTAATCCTCTTTTGTGTTTCACTTACTGATATAACCAGATTTATTTTTATCTATTTTTTGTTTGAATATTTTGGTTGAGTTTTTAATTTATTTTCCATATATAGTCCTTATATAATATAAAACAACTAGTTTTAATGTTATAGAAAAATATCAAAATTATTTATTTAGTTTACGATAATAATTATAAATTTTCATTATAATTTTAAATTTTTTCACTTTTTAATAATAATAATGAATTCTATTCAATAATATTATTTATAAGATATTCCATAATTAACGATCCTAAAAAAATATGAAAATTTTAAACAAAATAAAAGATTGTTTGGAAAACGCGGTTCAAATAACGTACGGAGAAAACGCTAACCGCCGCCGTAAGAAAAGAAGGCAAACCGAGGGGACAGCAAACGGTTTTTTCTCACCCTTTATTAAAAGAACGGTGACGAGCCGCTGCCAATCATAAAAAAACACAAACACACACAGATTGCGCCACGTTGATTTGTCAGACGAAACTGATATTTTTATTTGAATTTTGCTAAATGTTATTTTCCTTTTCTATTTTAAGCGGGCTGATGGGAATCTTTTTAATGTTCAATGGGTTATATTTTTACTTTAACATTGCCTTATTATATAAAATATTATTTAATTATATTTACATCTAATTAATTTGTAATTTTTATTATTTATTTAAATAAAATTTGAGTTAAATAAATTTTCGATAAAAGAAATTATTTAAATTTAAATATTTAAATTTAAAATAAGTTTCGTTAATGTTTATAATAGTTAATTATGTTACGCCCAATGTATTTTTTATTAAGTTCTACACAATTCTAAAATATAAAATTTAAAAGCACGGTTAATATATTATTTTTAAAAATTATTAAAAATAAATTATTATCAATATGAACAAGTACATTTGATCGATTGGTTAAAATATTCGACTTTATCTTCTTACATTCCCTTAAATTAGTGCTTATTTATAAGATCATTAGGAACAATCATATTTTTCTCGTAGAATTTTCATTCCCCTAAATAGAATTAATTTCTCCATTAATTTTTTAATTTTATCGATTAAATTATTTGTTTGATATGTTAAGATTATCATAAACTAATATATTTAAATAATGTTAAGCAAATCAATAACTATTAACATGTGACAGAGCGACACAATATATAAAAGAAGATCATACATCAACTACAGTTAATATACATAAATTATAAATAAATTGTTAGATTTATATTATAAGATATATAAAATCTTATAATACAAATACCAAATATGAAATTTGATCTAATAATTATTGTGCCCAAGCGTATCCCTAAACTCCCTTATTTGACTTTTTTGATATCATTTTTCTTCAGTTCATTTTTTATTCACTCAAGTGGTGAAGTGGATCGTAATATTAATATATGTATATATATTATTATTATTTGATTAAAAAAATTAAACTTATTAAATTCTTTTAAAATCAAAATTATTTTGATGAAATATGTAGGTTACATGAATCAAATATGTAATTTATAAAAATTAATTATAATTTTAGGACAAATTACATGTTTAATACCTAAATTATCAATTTTAATATATTTTATTACTTAAATTTTTAATTTTTTAAAATCATACCTAATGTTAAATTTTTATTTTATTATAGTATAATTTATATATTAAAACTAATCAAAATTAATAATTTAAATAAATATGTAGTTTACCCATAATTTTATTGTGGTGTAGACTAAGCCTAGGGTTAGAGGATGTTGGGGCGTGGCGGTCAGATATCGTGTCACGAGGCGAACCTAACAATGGAAACACGACAGCCGCCGCATGCCTTTATGTTTGATGGCATCACTGATTACGTCATATTTTCACTTTTGGTGCTGGAATATTTTTTCTATCTTTTAATTCTTAATGTTTCACTCTGACTAATTATATCGATTTAGGCACACGTAATTTTAACAAATAAGTATTTTAGTAGGAATTTATATATATATATATATATATAAGGATTTGAAATTGAAATCTGTTCAAATGATATCAAACTGCTTACCACTTGAATTAATCAGTTGACGCTGTCCAATATTTTCCTTCTTTGCAATTTGTGAATAATTGAGAGCTTACCTTGTTAAAAATATTTCAGTACTTTTTCCAAAAAAGATATTAATAAAATATATCATTTCATAATAATTGAGAGCTTATAATGTTAAAACTTTGAACTAAAATATCCGGATATAAGAAAATTTTATTACCCATTCAACTAAATAGTCCTTATAATATTATATTAGTTCTTTATTTAACAATTGTATTTAATGTATTTATCAAATAATTTAAGTTAAATGTTATAAAAAAGTATTACTATAAACCATAATTATTTTTCTTATATGGTAAATAATCTTTGTTTTTTAATGCATTAAAACCAAAAAGGGCGGACTCAAACAAGTGACAGATAATCACGGATTAATTTATGTCTGTAAAATAATCAAGTAGCACGTGCACGTACATCAGAGACACGTGCGATTACCCTATGAAACGAAATTCCACCATTTAATTTCCGTCTCACCCACTATCTCCTCCATCTCTCTCTTTCTCGCCGGCACTCCCCAAGCTCTGAAGCTCCCTCATCTCGTCCCAACAATTCATTTTCTCTTCGATTATATTCAATCCGATTTCAAGGTAATTCACAATCCCCATTATTTTACATCAACAATTTCCTGCTTTTCTTTTCAATTTTCAATTTCGATTGCTTAATTTTTTTTTCTTCAAATCTCGTCCAGGTTCACGGTAATTCTTTACTTTGTTTCAAATCTCGTCCGGGTTCAGAGTATTTCATTATTGATTTATTTAACTAAGTGTGCTACTAATCTGTTAATATCTGGCTCTGTTTGGCTGCCGAGAAAATTGAAACTTGCTATGAAGTTCGTTTCCATTCTCTTACTTGACTTGAAAGTCAAAAACTTTTTTGTCCAATCATGAAGGAAAAAATAAGTCCCGATACTTCAGATTGCCTTCTTTTTAAGAAAGAAATCGGCAGATATAGCTTGATAAAAAGCTACTTCTGTTTGACTAATGTTCTAGTTTAATTTAGATTCAACTTGGTTATTGTTATTTTGGAACAGGTTGATGGAGCAGCGTGATGCTGTTGTAAACGTGTTTGGGATGCATTGATTTGTCTTATTTTAGTACCAGTTGGCTCAATTTCGGGTTGGATTGAATCATTTTTCGATAGAAATGGATCGCTGTGACACTTCAGGATTCGTTAGTGGGGGTGGGATTTACTCGCTCAACGGCATCTTCTAACCCTAGTTTTTGTGGCTAATTGTCTTCACCCGGAAGTCAGGTTGACTGCTCTGTTGCATTTGGGATCTGCTCTGCATATTGTTGTCTCAAGTTTTCTGCTATTGCTATATGGATTCCAGGTCCTCAAACTTGGGGTTCCCTGCTAATTTTTCTTTGAATGAATTCAATATTTCGGGTAGTTCGATGCAAGTTGGAGGAACTGGTGGTGCATATGGAAAAGATACTGTTCTAAGTCTTGATTCCCCGGGCTCCTCAATCCCTTACATGTCCACATCAAAAGGAATCAAGAGGAAGTGGAGTTTGATGGATGGATCTGTGTGTGAGCAAGTTGGGTCATCATTGGCTCTTCGGCTAGGCCGCTATTCGAGTTCCTCAGACAGCAAGGGAAGTTCAACAACTGCTTGTACTGCCACATCTTCAGCCAAAGAATCTGATGTGGAGTCCTCAATGGACATTGAATTGGATTTTACCCTCCATATTGGAAATGAAAACGTAATCAACCCCAAGAAACCTGCTGGTTCAGATCCGAAAGGAATGGGGTTGCAACTAAACGTTGACCTGGAGTTAAGCCTGTCAACTGGTTTTTCTGAATCTGATATCACTGGTGTCCATCTCAGCTCTTCTCCCGATACACCAGGTACGAAGATGCCGATAGCAGTTGAAGGGCCTCCAAATGCAGATGAAAGATCTACTTCATGTCACTGGAAACCTGGAATTGGTTCGCCAGCATTTCAGAGTTTACCAGTGAAAGAGACTAGTGTCTTCTTCAAGGAGGTTCCAAGAAGCATTGATCTTTCTCCCATTGTTCCAGAGCTATCTTCAAGCGTGATTACTACACCAAAAAGCTCGGTGACTTGCACTTCCGGGATAATGCAGCAACAACAGCCACAACACCGCAGTTCTAGTTCAAAGACATGTCAGGTTGAAGGATGTGGAAAGGGGGCCAGAGGTGCCTCTGGCCGTTGCATCTCTCATGGTGGTGGCAGGAGGTGTCAAAAGCCTGGCTGCCATAAGGGAGCAGAGGGCCGAACTGTGTATTGCAAGGCCCATGGTGGCGGTCGACGATGTGAATTTCTTGGGTGCACAAAAAGTGCAGAAGGTCGTACTGATTTCTGTATTGCCCACGGTGGTGGTCGGAGATGTAGCCATGATGGTTGTACTCGAGCTGCCCGAGGCAAATCTGGACTATGTATTCGTCATGGTGGTGGGAAGAGATGTCAAAAGGAAAATTGCGCAAGGAGTGCCGAAGGCCTCTCAGGACTTTGCATCTCACATGGAGGCGGGCGGAGATGCCAATTTATAGGATGCACAAAAGGGGCACAAGGGAGCACCATGTTCTGCAAGGCACACGGTGGTGGAAAACGGTGCACGTTTCTAGGGTGCAACAAGGGTGCTGAAGGGAGTACCCCTTTCTGTAAGGGTCATGGAGGGGGGAAAAGATGTGCATTTGAAGGTGGTGGGGTTTGTACGAAGAGTGTGCATGGAGGAACCAACTTTTGTGTAGCACACGGAGGAGGCAAGAGGTGTGCCGTGCCTGAATGCACAAAGAGTGCAAGGGGACGTACTGATTATTGTGTTCGACACGGTGGAGGTAAAAGATGCAAGTCTGAAGGGTGCAGCAAAAGTGCACAAGGTAGCACGGATTTCTGCAAGGCACACGGCGGAGGCAAGAGATGCTCCTGGGGCCATCCTGGGTCAGAATATGGAAACCAACCTTCTGGTCCTTGCAACTCTTTTGCAAGGGGCAAAACAGGTCTTTGTGCACTCCACAGCAGCCTGGTTCACGATAAGAGGGTTCATGGAGGTGCAACACTCGGGCCAATTGTCCTAGATCCTAAACTCTCCATTTCTGGGAAGATGAAAGAGATTGCTACTCCTGAGGGCATAAATGTCGACACTATGAAAATGTGGAGTGGCATAGAACCTTCTGAAGGCGGAACTTGTTCTAGTTTGAATCGATATGGAGTTCCATATGCTTCTAGCTCTGTCGACAAAGGAGGCTTCTCTGTTTATGCTCCTGAAGGTAGGGTTCATGGTGGGAGTTTGATAGCAATGCTAGCAGGCGGTTCCGGTCTTGCCTCAGTCAACACCGCAGGTTTTGCCGGTGATGCATCGGAGCCAAACAAATCTATTAAGCCCCCCCAGAAATGGATGTAAGTTTATTATTTCTCAACTATCATAAAATTATTCGTGGAAGTTATAACTAGTTTCCCTGCTTGTTGTTTGCATCCTTCGTTCAAGTTTGGTAGGTTAGAAACCTTTGGTCATTCATTAGTTTTAGATTTGCAAGGAAAGTGCTTTATTGTTCGGTGTTACCATTTGTTGTAAATATTTTCACATATTTCCAGCAGGTTGTTGTGAATATATAGGCTAGTGCCTGTAAGGTCCAGTCAGTTTGTGGAACATTATGCTTATAATAAATCTTTTCTTTGGGGGTCTTATTTATCATTTTGCTATTTTTTAAGATCAATTGAATTGTATAAAGTTTGGTTAATTTAGTTGGTTTTAACCTAGTTAAAATTACTATTACTTTCAGTTAGATTAATTTGGATTTAATAGACTCTTTTCATTCGAGTTAAAATTTGATCGGGTCTTAAGTTTTGATTTTCAATGAGTTTAGACTTGAAATATATATAATATGTATTAATTTTTTAAATATTTTTAGTTAATTAATTTATTTGATTAATTAATGGCTTTATAAGTGAATTAATTAATAATTGAATTTTAGTTTTTTTAGCTTTTGGATTAAATTTTAATTCAGTTATTCTCGTATTACAAATGATGTCAATGTCTCGTAATAAAAATTGAATTTTAAATAATTAAAATTTAAAGAATAGAAATTAAACAATAAAACACTCATAAATATAATATTTATGCTCGTTTACAAAGTTCATCAATTTGTTAAATAGATAAGTACATATTTTCAAAGAAAAAGTAAATCCTATAAATAATCATTAAAGTATAATTAATTTTAGTATTTAAAAATAATGAAATAGTTATTGTTGTGATAGAAGAAGCTCCTATTAACAATCGGGCTGAATTGATAATTTAAAGTTTAGGGAGTAATAAGTAAAAAAAGATACGAAAAATTTAAATAATGATTTATAGTGGTTCGATTTCTTAACCACGTTTACATCTACTACCTAAACTTCTCACTTATGATTTTTCAACAAATTCATTAATTTGTTCTTTCTTTTTCAAGTATAAAGAGATAACATTTACAACTCCCTAACTTTCAAAGGCTTAGCTAGAACCAATCTTCTTTACAATAAATAAAAGAAGTATACAAGAAAATCTTTCAAAATAAAGTGTTCACAAGATTTAAGCTCACAAAAATAAAATCTAAGGATATACAATTAAACTTAAAACACAAATATTTACAAGAGAACGCAACTAAAGATTGATTTTTTTTTTCTTTTGGGTATGAATGTTTGGATAGGTATTGGTAACATTCGTCAAGTGTCCTCAGCTTATTTTTATATGTTGGAATGAGTTTGTGACCGTTTCTAGCCATTGAGATGTTGTTTTGAAGCCGTTGAGGATTAATTTTCTGTAAAATAAAACTGTCCAAGACATGGAGTATCGGTACTCCTTTAATGAGTATCGATACTATATTTGTAATTTTTAAATAAACTAGCCGTTAAAGACCGTTAGGCTTGACCAGTATCGATACTATGTTTCATGGTATCGATACTATTGTATAAAGTAGTATCGGTACCCCTTTAGGTATCTATACCTATTTTGTATTATGAAATTTGAATAATTTAGAAAAAAATTGGTAATATCGATACTACTTAAAGAGTATCGATACTTCTCTTACTTTTAATATTGGTACTACATAAACAATATCGATACTGTAAGAAGAGTATCAGTACTACTTATCCATAAAACAATTTTGTGTTCAAATTTTAATTCAATGAACTTCGAATTATTTTTGAAAACTTTAAATAATTTCAATCAAATTCAAAAATATTTTACATTAATTTATTATATTAAAATATTATAAAACATAATTAGAGACTTATTAATGTTATTTATTTAGTATCGTACAATGATTTTTCAATCACGAAAGATTGATGTGATACGTTTAGTCGACTTTCACGTGGCCATATTAGATTACAGCTAACTTACTTTTTGACTCGCTTTAAATGAAAATATAAATCTCTAGTTTAAAAATCTAATTAGGAAGAGAAGAGATTGGAATTTGGAAAAGAAAATTGACCAGAAACATGTGTAAGGATCTTGAGGTGAACTGTAAATACATATTTTAACGAACATGAAAAATCAGGCACTGTTCTGCTTTTCAAGCAGAGTTGTGGGCGATATACGATGGCCTCGAGCTCGCTTGGAGCCGCAATATTCGTGTACTCGAGGTTAATACCGATATCCTTGAATTGGTGCGCATCCTTAATGCAGCTCCTTGGCCTTTTGAATCTACCCTTATTCGGAAGATCCGAGGAGTCCTAAGTAGACCTTGGAAGGTCTCGTTTCACCACTGCTCCCGCGAAACCAACAAACTTGCCGACAGCCTTGCTCGTCTGGGCAGCGTGGAAATACTGCTATCTCCTGCTTTGACCAGCCTCCTCAGGAGGTGCTTTGTCTCCTTCACTCTGACCTGGATGCTTGGCTAGAGAGTTACCCGCAGTAGTTCTTAGTGTTTGTTTCTTGTTAGCAAATATATATATATATATATATATATATATATATATATATATATATATATAATAGTGACTATTATTAGACGGTCGACACATATTATGATCTTCGACAAATAAACTCTCTGGTTCTATTTCCAGGTCAAAATTGGCTGCAACATACCGATGATCGATGAAAGGTCCATAAAATTTAATTTATATATAAAAATCAACGAATGATATCTTTCCTCGGTATTTTATTAATCGGATTAGTTGATTATTCAACATTGTTCCAAATAAATAAACCGCCCTCTATGCATCATTCAATTCATCATCATCCCACGAGTCTCCTTCACTCTATTTAATATCATACTCATGTTCGGATATATATCAAAAAATATATATATATATACCATAAGCACCATACTGATGATTGAAGAATAGTCCAAATCTATGTTATATATCATCGGAAAAAGTTTAGCAAACAACACACGAATTCGGATTCTCTTCGGCACTTACGACTTGGTAATGCGTGGCCATGTAAGGATCGTAGGCCTTGTAAGCCTTAACAAGCTCCGCAATCTGATCACTTTCTTTCTTTTTATCATCTCCGGCCTTCTTACCGCCGCCTTCGTCTTTCTTGGCTCCGCCGTCCTTTTTCTCTTCCTTGGCTGGCCCGACCGATAAAATCTCGGTGTACCATTGTTTCCTTAACTTGCTCACTACGTTAACCGGTCAACGTCGCCGATCACTGTTAGCTTCTTGTCTTTCATGTCCATCGAAATAGAATCAATACCTACAGAAAAAAACACAGAGAGAGAGAAATTGAAGGAGACGAGTCCCTGATATCAGACAATATTACATAACAAAAGGGATCCTTTTAAGCACCGGAGAGAGCAGAAACAGCTTTCATGGCTTTCCGTTTATCTTTGCCATCTTGTAAATCCATTTTCAAGACAACTTTCTGGAAGAAACAAGATGAAACCGAGCATGAATTAATCAGACAGAAACATGAAGAAGGATCGAATGTTTTGGTAAGAAAAACTGGGAGGAAAATAAGATTACAGGAAAGGAAATTGCTGACCTTCATCGGTGTTGAAACTAAAAGCAGTAACCAAAGTTCCCCACAGCAAAACAATGATTGATATGATCATAAAAACCATCGGCACACCCAAATTGTAGGGCTAATATATAAATCGATAAGTACGAAGTTAAACCCGGTTTAAACCGAATTAATTAAATTATTTTCTAAAAATCATTTTTAGAATTTTCAGTCCAATCATTTTTTTTACTTGTTTCTTTAAAGGTCTAATTACTGCTTTAGTCAAGTTCAATTCATCTATTTTAGTTTAACATAATTCGATCATTTTATCTTTATAATAATATTGTCATTAGATATTATAGTTAAATTGATGACATTAATATTTAAAATTATTATTTAATCACACAATCAAAATTACATAAAAATTTAATCAACCATATTTTTTTATAATCACCGGTATCCGATCTATTGATCAATTAATCTGGATCAGGTACTGCAAATGCAAGGGCGACCCTCCCAACCCAGTTTATTCCATTCACAATCGCCATGATTTGAAGTCTTAACATTGTTTAAGGGATCTAGTGTCTCATCCTAATAGACCAACTGATTTAACTAAAAATATCATTCAAATGATTGATTATTTTAAAAGAATTTCACGTCATCTAATTTTTATTAATTTCAACTATATAAAGACATAATTAAAATAAAAGGATTAAGGTTATTTTTGCCCATGTAATAGACTCAATTTTTCATTTTCGCCCTTATCGTATTTTCGCATCAATTTAGCACTCAAAGTTTTTTAATTGCATCATTATATACCCTTCCCTAACTTAAAATCCTAAATTATATATCCTAAGTTAGTGTTTAGGGTTTAATGTTTAAGGTTTAGAGGTAATGGGGTTATAGTTTAGGGTTATAGTTTTTTAAGTTAGGGGTAGGGTATAGAATGATACAATTAAACAATTTCGAATGATAAATTAATACGATAATACGACATGGGAGAAAATGATAAATTGAGTATACTAAATATAAAAGTTAACCTTTTGCCAAAGATTAAAAATGTAAAGTTTAGCATAATAGAGGGATAAAACCCCATAATAAATCCTTTATGTAAAATTTCGAAAGCCCATTTTCTCTGGGCTGTAGCTAAAAGAAAAAAGCTCAAAAGCAGATAAAACAAATACTACTATAAAACCACACACTTACCGTAAGTTAGGGTTTCTCTGTGTAGGCAAGACAGTTTAGAACATAAGCCTCGCCTTTAGCTAACTGCCTTAGCTGCTGCTGCTGCTGCTGCAGATCTCATCCTAATCATGGTAATTCCTCGCCCTTTGTTTGGTTTCTAAGAAAATGTTTGCATGGAAATGTGTTTAATATACTGGATTTTTCTTATGACTGTTAGATCATTCCAGAAAACCGCCGCGAGATCTCCAAGTACCTCTTCCAAGGTACCCAAATGATAAATCCCTTTACTCATTTCAACCTTTTTTTTCGATATTTGATTTAGATATTTGGATTTAAGATATGGGTTTTATGATTATTTTTGGAGCAGAGGGCGTTTGCTATGCAAAGAAAGACTATAATTTGGCAAAACACCCAGAAATCGATGTTCCGAATCTTCAAGTGATAAAGCTAATGCAGAGCTTCAAGTCGAAGGAATATGTGCGTGAAACTTTTGCTTGGATGCATTATTATTGGTACCTTACAAATGATGGCATTGAATTCTTGAGGACTTACCTTAATCTTCCTTCTGAGATTGTTCCCGCTACTTTGAAG